TTATCCTAGTCTTGCAAATGAATTATTAACTTATCATTAGTTTAACCAGCCTCCACTGATGTAACAAATGAATTGTTGAATTCTTGCAATATAAAGGAAGTGAAGCTGTTTGAACAGCTCCTGCTCTAAGAACTGAAATAGATTTGTCACATTTCCAATCTCGATGAGCACTCCTTTTTCTCTAGCAACGTGCATACGGAACACAAATCGTGCCGCTATTTACGTTAGATTTTCCTAAGAAGAAACAGAAATCATGTCTTGTTTATTATTGTTAAGGGAAGTTTCAAACTGCTACATTTTTTCTACGTTCGTAACGTGTACTGTTTATGATAAGAAAAAAAAGAAGAAGCAATCTTTATCCACATGGCGGCTGCTTGTATTTCTGTGCTTGTTCTTGTAAATCGTCTGCTTGCTGGATACATTCCTGAGCTTGTTCTCGAAAATATCGTTCCATTTCGAGCCATAAACGTTCCAACAAATCATCTGGATGGTCGAACATTAACAATCGATCAGTATAATCAAGTGCCCAATCTGCATGTGATGTAATTGACGCACAAAAAATAAATATCTGTTTAATATTTGCATATTGACATACTTGTGGTACTATATATTCTGCAAGAGAACCAGAAGTAACAAGAAAGAAATTTTGCATTGTATGAGATTTTATGTATTCAATACAGTCATCTGCATTATTGAAGATTTGTACCGATCGATATTGCAAAAGTTTCTCTCGGAAACTTACAGTTGAACTGGAGTTAGCATCTAGCCAAAGTATATATGTCGACATTGTAAAAGGTGCACGTAAACAAAAAGCATTGTAATCGATGCTTATTTATACAGTATCACTAACGCCATTGAAACAAAAAAGATAATAATTTTTTCATTTGATTTCCAACGACCACTCATACGCACTTCCGAGTTGTACTTGTCAACAGATGTTTTTACGGTTTTTTCCTACATTACGATATATATAAAAAGACGAAATAAGTTTTAGAAACAAACTGAGTGCACTCTAAGCACATGACGAATCTTGTTAGCTGCAAAAACTTTCCAACATACACTGATTCATAATTACGACAACAACGAAAACAATTATCTTGAGTATGCAGAAATGCATTTGGATTGGCTCTGATATCTAGGGGATCGCGTATCTACAGATATTTATTTTGTGTTTACAAACAAAAAGGAACTTTTCTGGTGTATGTTTGTTATCATTGCTTATTTTGAATTAAACTTTATGACAATCGAAGAAATATTCTTTATCTAAAATTAATGTAAAACCAATCAGTATTTCTAGGGCAACCGACTATGAGGAGAGCGGGGTGGTTGAAAGTTCTCCTCTTCTAAATTTTTACTTGCGCTTAGCCTGACTCCCCGTGAAATTTTGTCAACTATTGTTTAGCAGATTTCTTTACTTTTGATAGCGAAAATGTAAGAAATCTGTGTAAAAAAAAAACAACTTTTCCCCTGGTTTTTTGAAAGAGAAATTATATATGAAGATTTCGTTAAAAATTAGCTGCATTTTACAAAGAAAAATTACGTTTTTTAAATAATTTTCTTTGAAAATTAGCCACTTTCTCCCAAAGGAAAAACTTCCTTCCATTTTTGGGTCTTTTCTCCTTGATTCCTTCCCCGCATGTATAATATCAAACAACTGCTCTATTTACTTCGGTGGTATAAACTGCAACCAATGTTTCTCTAACATCAAAACAACGTTCTATACGTATACATGAATCATTTTGTCTCGGCATATACAAAGTTTATCAAATACGCAAATTGAATAAATATCGTTATTCATGACATGAAATATTTCATGTATTGTTTATCCTAATATTTATATGGGTTATACATCGTCTATTATTTTAATTCACATAACAACATATTTGAGAAGAGTTCATCAAGTTCTATGTAGAGGACAACGAACAAGATGGAAATATTCAAGGAAGGAAACTTCCATGAATGATTAATAACAAATGGATGACACGAAAGAAAAAAGCCCAATGATCAGAAATAAAAGGAAAAATCCGATCAATTCTGAAGAATAGAGAAGAGACAAAAAAATGTGTCATGAATATACGGTTTAATCATATGAAACGATTACTGAATAGTCTGAGGACACTCTGTGACATATGCTACTCTTCGGAAAATATTTCTACAAAGAAGATTGAGAAACATGAGTTAATAGTGTCGCTCTTAGCTTGGAACATTCTTACAAACAATGATACTATGCTTGAGACGAGTCGTTTTTGTTATCGTGTTAATATGAATGTAAATGAACGAAAAATGATGATCCTCACATTTACATCGTACAGAATAATAAGCATAAATGGCGAGTTAGGTAGTCATAAATGATGTTGCTTTGACAATAAGTGTAGAGAAAAATGATCAAATAAGTAAGAAATATAAAAGACTTCGGCAATTGTTCATAGATATCTAATAGTAGCTTAGTGTGCATTTCATAGTTGAAAATCATGATTTCTTCAAAAGTTTTGCATTTTTTGGTAATTTTCTCTACATTCATGCTTCAAATCTCACGATTTATGACTACCGTGCTATTCATGTATTCTTATCAATCTTTATATTTTTTGGTTTCTGTTATGAAACATCCAGCTCTATGACAGTTTATTGTCTACAACAGTATGTTCTCAGTAGTAATTCCATCAATATAAAGTTCCGGAGTCATATATGTTTATACGATATCAAAAATGTTATAAGTTTTCCTAATTGAACATTACTGAAGATACTATATGAAAAGAAGTCTTGTGTGTGTTACTTTTGGTTGTTAAATCAATCTATCCTTTGACCGTTGACTCTGCTGGCTAGGAGCTGGTAGATAAGCTGAAAAGCTTTGTCTCAAAAGTTGCGCTTATGATTTTTGTCCGAAAAAAAATCATATTTCAGTGCTACACACTAAGCAGTCTCTAACTGGAGGAATTTTGACATGATCTTTGTTTAATTTCCACACGTTTCGTAACCGTAAAAAAATAATTTGTTTTTGCATTATCGGTCGTACTAACTCACAAGTGAAAACCTTCTCGCTTTTCCGGAAGTCAATGTCATTGCATTTCTTAATTATCAATCATATATTGTTCTACTTCCATTTTTATTTTATCATTATTGGTGTACTTTTTCTTTTTTTCTCTTCTTTTCGCTTCTCTATCTTTGTCTATGTAAGCATGCTTGTTCTGATAATACAGTAATATGATATAGTTGCATCAAGATGACTTCTCAATAAATCGAGGAAGTAGCAATAATTGCTTATGAATGATAATACACCTATATATATGTAATAAAATTGTCTACACATTAGACAAATACATATTCAACATATTTTTTGAATCCTATGGAGAGATTATTACTGACTGTTGTATTGATATTCTTACTTTACTTTCCTAGTTTGTCACTAATGTTTCATCATTTCTAAATGCTCGTGTCTTTTTTTTTACGGGCAGCATTGATGGAAATCAATGTTACACTTGTGCACATGAGTGTTCTGATCCATTCAATGAAACAAGTGCTATGTCATTCCCATCACCATCAAGGTGGTGTATGGTATGTATCAATGATGACATTTATTTGTAACGTTGTTGTTTTTTCTTAGAAATTTAAAAGCAACAAAAGTCCATGATTCGATTGTGATCCATTCTTCTGCACCAGACGGTTTATGTACAAAAAACAAATGTAAATCATCTACTCATAATGGTATTAAAGGAATCAGTTGTTGTTGCAATTCACAATTATGTAATAATTCAAATACAAGAATACTTTCATTAAGTTGTTTTATTGGATTAACAACAATCAGTGTAATGAATTTAATTCTCAATTACTGACTTTATTTTTCTGATATCTTTTTTGTTTTTCAAAGTTTCATATTTGCCTCTTTTTTTCATACAAGATAACTGACTAGCAATGATATGTTATCTTTTATCATTCATAGAAACATGTTGGTGCTTATTCTATTGATATTTTTAACTGTTGGAGTATCCACAATAAACAGTTCTACTTGTACTTGTTGTTTTCCTGGTCCAGCACATACATGCCAAACACCTGCAATTCATCTTCCTTCATGTGCTGATTGTACAGGTTCTTTTTGTGCGAATCATGTTAAAGGATGTCAAGGTTCACCTCCATGTGAAGTTGAATGCAACTCGGATTCTAGTTCAATAAGCACACCAAGGAAAAGTTCTTCTTCAATGCAACCAATCAGTACTACATCAAACAGTGCACCTCTTGTTCAAGTTCATTTCATTATGATTTTTGTTGGTTTGACATTATTAGCGTTTGTCAATTGAATTTTTGAAACAAAGAAGATTTGTATTGAAATCACAGTTTAATAAAAATTAAAATTAAGAAAAAATAAAGCAAAGAAAAACAAAATCTTCCGTTTCTCGCTTTTTTTCTAATGATGAATAAAATTTATTATTTTATTGTTTTGATTTCTTCTCATGAAGTATTCATGGAGAATGTTTATAATTCAGTCATACTGTAGCAAATAGTATTGAACAAACTTATCACATGATTATATTAGATCTTAAACGTTTCCAGAAATGTTTAAAGTACTTAATAAAAAGACCAATGATCCTGTTAGAGAATATAACAAAAGCTAAATATTATTTAGCTGTATTGAAACTTTATTGTGTAAAATTTCATTTTCATAATATTGAAGTTTTGTGTTTTTTTATTTTTATCACGAATATCATAGATACATTCTGCATAAATATGAAATATAATTAGTTTGAAGATTCAATTATGAAAATAATTTAGCCATTTGATTACATATCAGATAAAAATCAATAAGATTCACAATTAATTATAAGATATCGCACAGCTATATCGATGACTCTGTTGTAGCAATGAATACAAAGAAATTTTTTTATGGTTTATAGAATATCTTAAAAGTTTCTATCATTCATTTTTCATTTCTCATATCTATTACTTTTTCTTATTTCTTTCTTTGTGTTGTTAACATGATTACTTTGTCTATTAGTCATATACCCTTGAAGATTAGACAGTTAAATAACGCAAAATAGAATTCGTCCGAGTCGAACAATATGCGTTGTGAATTTATGATACCCACACGAATATGTTTTGTATGCTTTTAAATGCATATCTATTGAAGTAATACACAGGAATGGAAACAGACTATTATTTAAATAGGTTGAATATCAGCTTCCTGAACTCGATAGGATTACTACTAATGAGTCTGTCATGAGTGTAATTAATAGTTCAAACTTATTGTTTTTATGATTTAAAAGCTTATTGTTAGGATATCATGAGGACAAAGACGCAGCATCCCTTGGAGGAGCAGATTGGCCCTTCCGACATTGGTGGTTATTGTAGCATGTACTATGTGTCTATGCTCCCAAAAATGAGTGTTTTATTTAATGCAGTTTGAAATTGCCCACGACAGAAATAAACATCTGGATAAAATACTAATTGCTAAGATTTGTAGCGCGAAGGACGAAACAAATGATTATTTATAATAAATTTAAATCGAAAAATATTTGCACTTTGCATACAATAGATTTAATAACAACATCATCCTATCAGTAACGATAGTCAAAGAAAAGAAAAAAAATCTTTCCACGTGATATTTTGTAAGTTTTATTTTTGCAAACGAACGACAACAAAGCATAAAAATATTTTACTGTCTACTCAATAGCATACGAACTAAAAATGACCGAAAAAACTCCAATAACGATTGCTATAATGAGTCCTGGTGATATGGTGAGAGATTTATGTTCAAATTTTGTTTAGATTTCGTATTTATTTTAATTTTCAAGGGACATTCTATTGGTCAAGCTCTTCTTTCTTCAGTTAAAAATAAATTTCGTATAATTACGAATTTAACAGATCGTAGTGAACGTACAAAAAAATTATCAAATTTAGCTGGTATTATTGATGTTAAAACAGATGAAGAAATTATTCAACAAGCTGATTTTATTTTTTCTATTCTCGTTCCATCACAAGCAAATTCACTTGCACAACGTTTTGCACCATTTCTAAACGAAAATAAACATATTATCTATGTTGATATGAATGCAATAGCACCACAAACAGTCTGTTCTATAAGTACACTTTTTCCATATGGAAATTTTGTTGATGGTTGTATTATTGGTTTACCACCGGGTTCTCATGAACACATGCCAACATTATATTTATCTGGTGAACATGCACAAAAAATAGCAGATCTATTTCAATATACAAATTTAATAAAAGTATGTGTTATAGGACATGAAATTGGTCAAGCAAGTACATTAAAAATGTGTTATGCTTCGTTAGGTAAAGGTATAACTGCAATAACTATTCAATCATGTATAACAGCAAAATTCTATGGACTTGAAGAAATATTTTTCAATGAATTAGAACAAAGTATGCCATATATATTTGAAAAATTAAATAAATCCATTCCACATATGCCACCAAAAGCAGCTCGATGGATTGGTGAAATGAAAGAAATTGCAAAAACATTTGAAAATATTGGTTTATCTGAAAAAATCTTTCAAGGAGCTGCTGAAACATATCAATTTATTGCTGAAAAAACACCATTAGGTAATGAAATAATTGAAGAAAGAAAATATGGACAAACATTAGATGATGCTTTAGAAATAATGACACAATCATTAAAGAAAACTGAAACATAATGAATAGATTTATTATCATATTAAATGATTTCATGCTTTAATTAAAAATAACAGACGATCGGAATGTTTTTAGATAAGATGTTTTTTCACTTGTGAACTGCTAGATAGTATTTCCAACTAATCAAAATCTATGAGTTATGACAGGCATTTTCTGCTCTTTTCCACAATTTATCAAGTTTTCACATTGCACTTCAATTAACCACAATAATAAAATTTTAGATTTTTAATTAGTTGCTACATTTCATAGTGTTGAGCACAATGGTTAAGTCACACGCAAAACGCTACAATCATAGTCTGATCTAAATTCATGCTGCTTCGTACTGTGACCTTGTGCTCAGGACTACGAAATATAGCAATTAAATAGTAAAGCAAATATGTTTTTTTTATAAGGTTTAATGAAATTGATTAAATCTGGAGTCGAAAACTTAGCTCTCCTTTTCGAAAGTGATCTCAGAAATTTTGTCTGTTTTTGTTGGACCATAGTGAAATAATCTTTGAAAAATTTTCAAAAATTAGTTTAAAAGGAACTTGTGAGTTAATATTTTCGATGAACATTGGTGAACAATAGATTTTTGTTTATCCTATAAATTTCTTTTAAAACATGCTAAAATTGTTGGAGTCAAAACTTTTTCTTTGAAGAGTTTCTTTCAACATAAAATGATTATTGATTTTTCAAAATGAATAGTTAGGAGAAACGAAAATTAAATCAACTTTTAGTTTCGAATTACAATATTAAAAATTTTCCGTTAACAAGTAAGTTTATTCTAATTTTCAAAAATTATTTTACTATTCTCGGACAAAAACTGAGACAAAATTGCTAAGCACAGTACGAAATTCTCATCATCAAAAGTGAACAAACATCATCTTTAAAAACTTTTCTCTCACACGTAATCAGACATTCCTTTTTTTTTCTCGAGATAATATAGTAGGTCTTTTTGTCATAAGATTATAAATAGAATGATTCATATTTATTTATTTGAATTTTTAAAAAGTATATCATTAAATCTTGATTAATTGAAATACAAAGATTAAATTCTAATGTCAATTTTATTGATTCTTTCTTTTTTTTGTTTCATTATAATAAAGTCTTGTTTACATGCATTGAAGTAAATAATTACAAATGATATTAAATTTTACTGAAGAAAGAAAAAAGAATCGAAAAGTGAAAAAAAAAAACATTATAATGCGCATGGTGATGTCTAAATAGAACAAAAACTTCTAGAAAACGAAAAATAAAACGATAAATGAGTATCGAAAGAACGAGAGTATGTCAATAAATAAGTGGCTGCATATTTTATATACATAATTCATCATTCTTTATTCAATTTATGCAAAATGATGCTCAATATGTTCGTTCTTTCCATCAAGTGTCATATGTTGCGGAAATTCCCAATAACACATTGGACATTCACGTATTTCACCATCAGCATCATTAATTGGTTTTGGTAATAATGTATTTTTATTTTCTTCATTAGTTTGATCTTCTGTTTTCACTTGTTGAGGTTCATATGCATTACGAAGAATTGACTCGATTGCTTCTTCATCAAAAATGGATTCGTTCGTTAAATTGTTTGTTGTTGGTTTTTCTTGTGAACGATTCATTTCTAATTGACGTTCAAGTGCAGTATATTTTCGAAATAATGTTTTATATTCTTCAGCACCAGCTGTTAATCGTTCAGTTAAATCTTGAACTTCAAGTTGTAAATCATTCTAAAAGTAATAATGATTCGATAATTTCAAAACCAAAAAAAAAAAAAGAAGAAAAAATCGTCATAAAGATGTTTTTCAAAAAGAAAATTGCTATATTCCAAGATTAAACCGATCGGTTTGAAACCCATACCGATACGAAACTAACGAATAGTCATACAATTTCATCTAGCGATAGTGATATATACCGTTGTTAACTTTTAACAAAGTTTCATTATACACTTCTCAATGAGATAATAAGAGCAAAAGAAAAAGACACATCAGGAATCGATATCTGTTCGATATAGCTATACTAAAAGTAATTTATAAAAAACTCTATTGAGCTCAAAGTTTTTTAAAGAGAAAAAACATCTATGAAATGAGCCCTATGAAATATGAAAATTATTGATGATTGTAATTTCAAAAGAATTTAACTGAAAAGAAAGAGTGAGATAACTTACAACGAAATCTTTATAAGCACTTAATTGTTTTTTAACTTCAATTTCACTTTTTTGATGTTTAACACAACGTTTTTCAATTTCTATAAATGAAGTTTTTAATGCCATATAAGCTTGTTGACTTGAATTCATTTCATTTAATTGATTTTGTAATGATTTGATTTCGTTTTGTACCTAAATAAATAAATAAATATGTATATTAGAAAGAAAAAAAAAATAGAAATTTATTTATTTATTCTTTTCTTACTAATTCATTCTCTAAACAATATTGTTCAGATAATTGATCTAATTGGTTTTGTAATGTTTGTGCTAATTCTTTATCTTGTTTAGATACTAATAATAAAGATTCATTGTTAACTTTTAAAGAATTTATTTCTTCGTTTAATAAATTATTAGTCGTTTTCAATTCATTAATTTCTTCCTCTTTTTTAGCAATTTGTATTGAATATGTATCAATTTGTGTTTGAATTGATGCTTGACTTTTTTCTGATGTTAAACGTAAATCACGTATTTGTTGTTCAAGTAATGTTTGACGTTGATTTGATGTTTTTGTTAATTCATTTGATTGCATTAAACGACGTTCTAAATCAATAATTTGTGTTGCTTGTTCTTTTGTTAATTGTGATGTTATACTGAATTGTGAACGAATTTGATTTGTTTCACTTTGAACTTTTGCTTGAGAATCTTCAAGTGCACGACAACGTTCAGCCTGTTGTAAAGATTCAGTTTGATATTGATTACATAATGCACGACATGCATCATATTCAGTACGTAATTTGGATTCTGTTTGTTGTCGTGATGATAATTCATCAATGGCTGTTTTATGTGATGCAATTAATGTCTAAGAAGAAAATCGAAATTTTATTTGTTTGTATAACTAAATGCATGCTGTCTGCCAATTAACAGTAGGTTTTCAAATGAATGTCAAAATCGTTCTTAGGAATATGGGTATAAGCGATGCATAAAAGACACGTTGCTACTATAGCAACATCTTGTGAGAGGAATAATGAAAAGGTCTGAAATTATTTTGGTTAAGGCCTGTCTCTATATGAAGTTTCAAGTGAAAGTTTGAACATAAGTTTTCCTGACGGATACAATGGCATTGGTTAAAAATCTATCTTCAATATTTTATTCAGATTTTTCTTTCAGGAGGAACAATTTAAAACTTTCGAGAAGGCGAACAACTATTTTTAGGAGCATAAACCATAAAATTTGAATCTTTAATTAGTATATTTATATCAAAATATGCCTAGAAAATCTTAAAAGAGTGAAGTCAGCATTATTTCTAAATTTTTAAAGCTCTACAAACTTCTTCATAAATCTTAAAAACCGCTTTGATTTTCTGAAAAAATTTTTAATTCAAGATTATGAAACTAATTGAGATACAACCATAGATCTGGATCTTCAATAGCGGAGGTGAAGAGTTATATGCTATAATAGCCATCAACTTCGAGAGGGTTAATCTGATTCTCAGGTCATGCTGCTCTTCGGCTCTCACACTACATACAGCACTAACTATCGTAAAAGTGTAGTATCTCGACAACAATAAACTAATGGCCTGAAATCTTGACAGAATATTCATAAACCATTTGGTTTGTTGACTCAAATGCGCGTTATCAATGGTGAATTTCTCTTATTAGTCAGAAGGAGAGAAATTTATCTTTTTTTTTGATGATGAATAATTTTTCTGGTGACGTATTTAAAAATGAATAATAATATAAATTATATTTTTCTTTTTCTGATAAAACGTTGAAGAAAACAAAAGATGTTTTTTTTTTTTTGTTACACCAAAAATTTGTAATATTCAAATTTCATAATTCTGTTTTTTTCTTAGGAAATTTTATGTTTACATACTTGCATTTCATTATAAATTTTATGATTATGTTCTTTTGTTTTAACTTCAACTACATCTAATTTAGCTTTATATTCATCTTTTTGTAATTCTAATCGACGATTCATATCTAATAATTGTCGATTTTCTTGACGTAATTTTTCTTCTGTTAACATTTGTTTTGTATGTATAACAAGAACATCATCATTATCATTATCAGCTAATGCAATAAGACCATCACGTTTTGTTTTTCTTATTGGTACATTTGATAATAAATCAATATCATCTGGTGCACAATTTAATTGAAATGGTATTGATGAACCAAGATTTTTTGTTTTACTTATAATATAACAAAATTGATAAAATTCATCATCAGTTACCGGTAATGATGATGATGAAAATGTTGCTGTACCATGATGAGTTGAACTTGATGTTGACGATGGATTGAATTGTACAGAAGCATATGCTACGCATTCTTTAATATTTGTACAACCAACCTAGAGTAAAAAAACAAACAAACAAAAGAAATGTTTCGAATAGAATAAAAAAAGAAAATTTCTACTCGTAATAAACCAATTTGATCTTCATCAGGATTGACCTTGATATCATGTAAAATAGTGAAAAAAGCTGTAACATCAGCACCTTTTACATATTGATCAGCAACATTTTCAAAAACAACTCGATCATCTTGTACTCGTTCTAATGTATTATCAAGTGGCCAATTTAGATCTGAGCTTGTATCCGAACATTGATCGTTAACATCAGTCATGATGTGTTTTTTGTTTATTTTGTTCGATGTATTTAAGTGCAAAACGAAAAACCGTATCTAAAACAAAAACCGTACAATTATATAAGTATGCATTGATAAATGCACTTTGGACTATGAAAACACATTCAACGTATGACTGATGTGTGTCCTAGGATGTGCACAATTTAACTGAGTTACAAAATGAATAAAATGAGACAAAAAGAAAGAGAGAACGAAATATAAACGTATGAGGGACTGTGATTGCATCAACAAAAAA